GCTAGCGTTTATGTGACGCCGGGCTCGCTTCGTTCCCTGGTCGACGACTCGACTTACTCGACTCTCTGAGCCGGAATCGAGGAGGAGGGCGGTCGAGCCTCGTTAAAAAGAAGCCACTATAAGAACCCGAGCTCGCGGCGATGCCTAGGATGTACATTTGTTGTTGTTGTTGTTTTTTTGTGTGTGTGAGTGCGTCGGGAACTGATGCATTACGAGGTGTGTCGAAGCAGTGTTATGGTGCTTGGAACGCGACCGAAATTTCCGTGTATAGACTTGCGCGTAAATTGAATATTAACGCGTCAGTGGCGTGACGAGAAAAGGGCAGAGTCTGTGGCGTTCCATGAAAAACCTGATAGGTCGATAAGGTTATGACGTCACAGCCACATGACCTCAAGAAGGAATTGCAAACAACCCATAACGCTCACGTGAAACGTGACGTCACGCGTGGAATGAAAGTGATTAGAAAACATGGCATCCAATGCGAATTAAACTCGCCACATGTCTCCTATGATTCCACTCTGTAGTGTTAGGCGGGATTCAAACCCATGACCCTTCGGTTGCAAGCCAGAGACGCTCCTGACCAGGCCACACAAGGCATGCTATCAAGGCTTGGGAACGCGCGGGAAATTGTGTGTTTATATGTTTCCCTAACACGTTCCTCTCTTGAAGGCGAAGCTTAAACGTGCTCGAGGTTTTTTTACAAGGGGGTGTTCGGTAAGTTTTGCCTTGTAGGCTGTGTAACTGTCTTATTCAGTGATGGAACAGAAAGATGTTTCATTAAAATGTTTGGAATCCCCTTTTTCCCCAGCAGCACGTAATTTTTCAACACAGTCACCACCAGCGGCGATGTACTTCCGCCCCGGATATACTAGTCTCTGCATGCCCTCGTAGAATAATGAGGGCGGCTGTTAAGGACACCAACGGCGCACCGCACTGGTGACCTCTTCGTCGGACACGAACCGCGTACCCTTCAGATGTTCATTCGATCATGTTGTGAGACAGCCACAAGTCTTATGGCGCGAGGTTCGAGCTGTGAGGGGGGTGAGGCAAAACATACTGAAGCTACCCCAGCGCGATGTTGGTCTTGTCAACAGCCGCCCCCATTCTTCTACGACGGCATGCAAAAGCAATGGTGTCGAGACAGGTCATAACGAAGTCGGTTCTAACGAAATAGCGGCTACAGCGAAGCGATCACGATTTCCCATTCCCTTTTGTACTTCATTAACCGAAGTCGGTTCCAACGGAATAGCGGCTGTAGCGAAGCGATCACAATTTCCCATTCCATTTTGTACTTCATAAACCCTTTCATGGGCAAATTTTATAAAAGGAGTGGGGAACTTTATTTTTTTTTTAATTCACACATTACATTGATAGAATATCACAATTCAGTAAAACGTTTATTTTTATCACAAGCGTAGTTATTTCTACGTGGGTGCTAAGCATACTTCCTGCCCCATATGTGGGCTACTTTCCATGAAATTTTTGGGAGCATGGTTCTTTGCAGGGAGGTACAGTGCATGTGTACCTGGTTCTTTTTTCATGCTGCTTGGTGCTGCAGTTCCTGCATCGGCGGTAGTTGGAGTTTTTGATTGGAAGGTGCTGTTCCACTCCGGTCAACTCGACCGCTTTGGGCACACCAATGTCCTTAGAAAGGAATGACGGTGGAGCTCCCTCTCTTCTTTCGTGACGCGAGTCCACAGATGAGATGCCTTGCGACCTTCAGCCTAAAAGAACGCTGATCTTCCTTGTGCAACCCCACGGTGTTGTACAAAACGAAGGCATAGCCAATTGAAAGGTCCACAAAGAAATGAAAATCTTCTGCTACCACTTGAGTGTACGGCGTCCGATGGCGTACCCCTCCCGCAGCTGGTCGAACTTGTTGACGCCTCCCATTAAATCGTTGTAAGTCGCAACAACCTCGGGGCAGGTGACAGTCGTCTTCGTCCCATCTTTCTGTGTTCTTGAGACAGAAGAAGTGTATGTCGTTTGCCATATTCATTCGTTCATGCATTCATTCGTTGGTTCATTCAATCATACTACGCTTGTAACTCGTAGCATATAGCTTTCTTTGAGACCAGAGACTTTAGATGCCTGACAAACACGGTTACCTTCATCGATGGACATGCAGCCTTGTGGTCTGGGACAAACGCAAAGAAAGAACAAAGCCTCCGGCACCTGGCACGTCCAGCGCACGCAGTTGGCGGGAGTAGTCCCCTGGTGGGAAAGATACAACATATTTTTCTTAGAGCGAAAAACAAAGGGTGCCACATCCCGCAGATGGGAAGCGAGCTTCCCTACGGACATATTTATGCCAATCTTTATAATGGGAAGTGTACTTTCACCGCCCACGAAAGGGTTAACCGAAGTCGGTACTAACAAAATAGCGGCTACACCGAAGCGATCACGATATCTCATTCCCTTTCGCACTTCGCTATAACCGAAGTCGGTTATAACGAAATAGCGGATATAACGAAGTGATTTCCGATTCCCGTTGATTTCGTTATAACCGATCTCGACAGTAGTACGCCGGTGGCGGAAGTGCGGCGCCACCGGTTCAGTGGCTACGCGAAAGGGCCTCAAGCTATCGGGCACAAACATCGAGAATGCGAGGTGTTATGCGAGGCAAAAAAGTCCTTGGTCTCGATATATTTATCTTGGCTTGTTTGTAGTCAGTCGCAACTGACAGTATCTTTAAAGTAACGAGCTAATATTTTATTGTTTTATACTCTACCCATAGAATACTTTTCTGACGAGTATGTATTACTCAATACTCATTTAGTGCCTTTCTGAGTTGAGTATTTAGTACACTACTCAGTAATAATTTTACCTGGTAGTCAGTAACTCGATTTAAATACTTGAGTATTTCGCATTGGTTTGTTGAGTATTTCGTATTGGCGCGCGTTAGCACACATCGAAACACACACTGATACATTTTGAGCGGCTTGTATCAAACATTTATCTCACAAGGCGTTGAAATAATAGAGAATTATTTTGCGAACATCTCAGCGAACTTGCGGTTCAAGCAAATAATGAAAAAAGCCCAGTTTAAAGGGGTACGGAAACAAAAGGCTTGCAATTATTTTTTTTTTTTTTTTTTTTAGATGTGGATTTTGTAGTGCCGGCAGCTCAGAAACACTAGCCTAGACTAGTGCTTCCCGGCTGCAGGCAGCGAAGTCAAGAAAACTAATTTTAAAACGAATGAACATAACTTCAAAATTGCGTCTGGTGGCTGTCTTTAAAACTCCGTTAAAATACCGACACGGTGATGAGTTCCCAAGAAGCAGCGCCAGTTCGCGGCAGTATGGCTCGCTCGTGGGGTTACATAGTCCTGAATGGGACTTGACGAAGAACGTTCATGAGCTGAGACTGCAGCCAAAGCTACAAGCGCAAGCTTGCCCGCGCTCCTGGCTTTGAGACATGCATTTCTTACGCGAGCGTGGCATCGACTGCAGCCTCAGCTCCACAGTGCTTCTGCAACGTGCGTTCCACACTATCAAGATCGACGTTTTTTGCAGACGTTATACTCTGTTTACCCTTAAGCAGAGACTAGAAGCTCCGCTTTCGGCGCGAGGCTTCTGCCCTTGCTAGTACAAGCGTGAACGCGCAGGGACGCGCAACCGAAGCTCACGTCATGTCGTTTATGCAAACCTTTAACACCACTGCTTAAAACGTCGATGAAACATTTAACCACCAATAGACAGATCTCACCAAGCGTTCGGCGCATGCGTGAGGTTGCCATAATTTAGTTCACACGAGGCAGGCGGCAGTGCCCGAGACGGCTCGATCGTCCGGTGCTCTGCACGCACAAAGTTCCAGCGAGACACGCGCGGAAAGACTAAAGTTCCCTCGATGCATTGCGGCAGCGTTGGTGTGGTCAGACTGTCTGGTAAATTTGTCGATTCTCTAGGCGAATGCCAAAGGTACCAAGAAGTGCGAGATCTGTTCAATGTTTTTTGCATATTCTTGTAAAGCAACGTGTCTCCTCCAAGACGTTGAATCGTGCAGCCGAAGACTTTTCTTAAATCTCCAACTTTGTTGTCCGTGTAGCATTTATGCTCTCTAGCACTGGTGAAATAAGCAAGCTCGGCAGGCTTGCAAAGAGGGAGCGGCCGGAAGTCGCTTGGGACGCAAACAGCAGTTCATGTTTCTAAACAGTAAAAAAAAAAAAAAAATATCCTTCCAAAAGTTTGTCTATTCGCTTTGTCCAAAGTCAAACAGGACGCTCTGATGGCGCCATTACACTGCTTATCGGCACCGGTAAGAACAAACTCGTGTTCACCTCAAAGAAAATTATGCTTTTCACGTAACGTCATTACTATCCTCCATCGTGTGTTGAAATAAGACATAGTGCATGTAGATGCACTCTAGATTAGTTTTATGTGTTTTTTTTTTTTTTTTGCATTTATCGATACGTGCCCGTTTCAAGTGCCAAAAGCATCGTTTCTTTTTTCGAAACCCAAACCCTGTACGAAGTACTTCGCGCAGCGCCTGAGCAATGCGCAAAGTATAGACGCTTTACACACGCGCCAAATTACAGCCACCATATCTGACCTTCTCTTGTCTTACCGAGATGCTTCGCCACCGAATCGAACATTCATAAGCCTCCAAAAAGGCCTATGCTGGAAAGAAGGGGATAGTAGAATAATCTAAAACGGCAAGAACCTGTCCTGCTGTGGTAATCATTAACTGGCCATTAAACCGAATAAAAGGAAACAAAAACTGAAGGTCGGTTATGATAACGGCGCCAACGCACAGCTACTGCGAAGCATCTATATATGTGCTCTTGTTCTTGTATCATCACAGATACAGCAGAAATATTAGAGTTCTTAAGACTGCCATTAGGTGGCTCTGATTTTTGAAGCGGGTCAAGCGGCCTCTGGCGATTTTCAGGTTGAACCTTGTTACCCCTTCTCCGCTGTTATCCCGACGTGTCCGAGACTCATTCTCTAATCCCTGCTCTCCCAGGTTACCCCGGGGCCGATCTCTGCGAGGAAGGGTCCATGGCGAGGAAGAAGAAGAAGAAGCGGAGACATCGGTGAGGACATCGTCTTTTCACAAAGGGACCTTATTCCGTCACGAGCCCTCTACCACAACACCCTTGGTGCTTCGAAGCTTCCGAATTTGTTACCGCCTCGAATCTATCAAAATAATCGGTCCACGCAATCGATAGGCATTGCCGAACGAGTGCCTCAATTATACTTTTGTTTCACTCCCAATAAATGCCGCACGGCCGTCCTAAAGCATCGGTCACACTGCCAGCGCGTCGTACTAAACAGAGTCTGCAGATAATGGGAGGGTCTATAGGTAACCGTTCTTACACATCTAATTAGGTACGATATGGCTTCCGGTACGAACTGCGCATGCGCGAATCTTCTGTGATTGCGCATGCGCAGTCCGTACCGGAGGGCACATCGTCCCGTATCGGATGTCCAAAAACGGTTTCCCAAAACTCCGTACTGTCTGAGGCGTGTTCCTTGATTGTATGTCGGTCTGTCACACTGTCAGTCATAAAATAAAAAAAAATAAAAAAAAAACTGCTTGCTCGCATGTTCGGAGCATACATATGTATAGACCCCTTCAAAAATTGCGCCCTCTTGCGGTCAATCTAGAAATACCACAAAAGTGGCGTGCGCAAAAGGCGCCAGAAAAATGGCATGTCTATCGATTGTACGCAGTCTCGTCGAAATGAGCATTATATCAGTTACAAACTCGCTAACTTCGTGGGTTTTTTTTTTCTGTGTTTCTTTGCACACGTCATTTTGAATTGTTTTTAGATTGACCTTAAGAGGGCGTAGTTCTCGAACGCGCCTATTGACCTTTCTATAAAAGCGTATGAGGGCGCGTTCGTTGCTGTGTTCGTGTGTTATGCACGCCCACTTTATGGCTGGCTGCAATTGCGAGCGAGAGCTGATTGGACTGTGATTTAGCACGTGTGGACTGTGCTTCGAAGAAGCTTCAGCTTCAGGCGTGTTCACAAACAATTAGGTCATCGTGTTTGCAGCGGACGCGGTGTCTTTGGTAGGATATTTGAGCCGTGGGACCGTGGCTTAAGAATGCGTCTACGTATTCGCGGTGAGAGGCTCGCTAGTAGCGCTACTGTTTTTCTCACTTTGGGTAGTGCCATACCCTGGCACTCTATACTGGAAAAGCCTGGCAGATCGCCATGAGACGCGGCCGCTGAAAGTGAAAAGGTAGAGCGACAGAACAACGGATGAGAAGAGAGGCTAGGGTGCCTACATGTCTGTCTGTCTCAGGGTGAAAATATCCAAAAAAAAATTGGGTTGTGTGTGTGTTTATACAGCCTAGAACTTGGTCTGCCTCACAGGGGCGACGAGTCTCCCCAGCTGTAGATGAGAAATTTAGCCAGTGCGGTAGAGCCGCTAGCCTGGGGTCTTTAACGTGCATCACGCAGTAGTGATACACGACCGCACGCCGGTACGATGCTCATCCAGATCGAAACGGGCAGGGGTGGGGCTCGAACCCAGGATCCCTGGGTTCTGCAGCGCGAGCTTTCGCTCCACGTGCTCCGAGCTGGTGTGCGCTAGACCACTCGGCCACCGATCCCCCCTGAAAACATCCACTGTTGCCCTGAATGTGCCAGCGCGTGACAGCTTTCGCGCACTCGGTGCGTGACTTGGGCGGTAAAATGGCGTCTAGGCAATAGCCAAAGCTACGCGCTCGAGCTGAGTGACACTGGATTCCACGCACTTCGAGATGCATAAAAAAACGATTGGGCGGAAAAATGAATGAGATGTCTCCACTCAAGCAACAGGACGCGTGTGTATGAAGACACTCTAGGAGAGGCATGTCACGGGCGCCCCGCTGCGGCGAGACGCCGAAACACACTTCTCCCGAGCGACGGAATGTCCGCTCGTGCTCCTCGCGTTCCTCGCGCGTCCTCGCCGCTGCAAAACCTCTGCGCTGAATACCATCTTCCCCGAGAAATGCTCTGTGCTACCAGATCCTCACGCTCCAAATCTCCGACCGTGCGCCCTATAACTCTGTCGTATAACTTTCAGGCTTTGTGAGTATAGAGGAAGCTATGGTAGGCGTACGTGCTACCCACGCGGTTATGTTTCAATTTGTATAGTGCATAGAAGCTTGGCATTGCACGTGCTGGCACCAGTAGAGGAAGTTGAAGTATCCGCACTTTGGATTGTTGTAAACTTCCACCAGGTGGCAATACCCGAATTCCCCTCCGCGAACAACCCCAGCCTCGCTATATGCGAGTTGGTCGGACTACGGTATGGACCCCTTTAATATGAAATGTATAAGTTCTCATGACTCGTGTTTCATTTCATTAAAATAAAATAAATGAGTGTCTTAAACCTCCTTTTTTTCTTTTTTGTAGTTTGAAGGAGTTCTTTTTTAATATGTTTGTCTTTCTCGTAATTTTCGATGGCCAACATCTTTGGCATCGAAATGGCAAAACCCTTGCAAGCGCCAACATAAAGCAACCCCAGTGCTCATTAGCTCTAATCACGATCCTAAACTGATAAACTAAAAGGATGTTGGATCCAGAGAGGTTCGCCTGAGCATCGTCCATAGCGACTTCCATAAATGTGTTTCGTTTTCGGAAGTACAGAACTTTTCACAAGTGCCAAAGGTAATACTTTTCGTATTATTCATGTTCATATCCGGAGCACTCGGAAATACTGGGACCGTTTCCTCGCTTTAATCTCCCCTTTCTGCTCTTATTTTGACGCTTTGGTGCGTACCTAAATTAGCATTGCTTCTGGTTGTCTTACTGAGTATAAAATTGGTAAACACTTACGCTACCTATAACGTGAAACACAGCGACAGCTGAGGTGTGACTTCGGAGCCGCTGAGGTGTCGTTTCGGAGAATAGGGGCTGAATGAACGGTCAAAATGCAAGCGCGCACAATTAAGTCCGCATAGGCGTTTTGTATTAAACCGCGTAACACACCGGATGAAAATTATATATCGTTTTGGAACCACTAAGGGCGTATTAAGTGGAAATCATTTCGTGACCCTGTTTAAAAAAATTGATTAGACACAAACTAGGATTGCCTCGTGGTAATTCAAGAACACTTCGAAAATCGCGTACCCATGTTTCAAATCCAGGGAACGGCGAAACTGCGTGTGTATGCATGAACCGTTCACTGTCTTCGGTGTGGTTGCCTGAACGTTTTACACAATTTATTGGGCACAAACTAGAACCTCCTTCTGGTCCCTAAAGAACACTCCCACGATTGTGGACTCAAGTTTCAAGCGTGTTGCTCCACCGAATTTCACGCCCGCGTTTTCGCCAGCCGAACACCCACCTGGCTGTATTCGTTTTATCGCCCAAAATCCTTTCCGAGATGATAAGCGAACACGCTTTGTTTTTATTGTTTTCATTATCAACCAGCAGTCCTATGTTTACCTTTCCTACCATGGCGTTACGTGACGACGTATTCTCATGTGCCGTCACAGTGTCACGTGACTCATGGCGTCACCTGACGTAATTAAGTCGCGTGGTGTCCGTGTGCATCGTGACTTGACATGACAGTGTCACGTCCTGCTGTCAGCTGACACCAGGTAACAGGTGATGCGATGCGAGGCGTGACGTCAAAGTCGTGTTGAGCGGCGTGACGTCAGCGGCGTGACGTCAATGGGGAATCTTTTGGCGGAGTGCTAAGAATGACCCGCTTCAATATGGAGCGCGATCGACGGCGCGAAACCCACGAAGTGTCCCACTAACTGCTATCGCAGTAATATACCAGGTTGTCAGGTCCCTCCCCCCACTCTTCCTATGGGAAGAGGGGGGGGGGGAGATGGTTGTGTTTATAAAATATATTTAGTGTGTGACCGAAATAAAATGTTCCTTCCACCGGGCGGAAGTAGTTGCGTTGCACTTAAGCACTTTTTAGTTATCCACGGTTATTTTCTTAATCTATCGTCCACCATGTTGCAATGGACGGGCATTTCCTGGCGAACTTGATTTAGCTTTGTCCTCCCTTTCATATGAGAGTTTGTATGTATTATTGTGCCTTACTTCATTTAATTGAGGTCTAGAAGCAACAATTCAGAAGGCGACACGGGAGGAACTTGTATCTGACCAGCTTGTGGTATAAAGCATTGATCATATAAACGTGCGAGCAAAAAGTGTAGTAATTTAGTGTGAGTTATTGAAACTACACTCGTTGATATTTTTTTTAGTTTGTTGTTCATTAACGCAGACATCTAAACCATTGACTTGCGTTGGCGCTAAGAAGAAATTTTCAATAGCCGATTACATGCACTTCAATAAACTTGTGGAGCAGCATGATTGAAATAATATTAATATTATTTTTAAATTCAAGATCAACAATACAAAATGTCAGGTCTGCCGAGGCAGAGTAAGGCTTGTGTAACGCGACCTGGTAGTGAAAGCACATTCTTCACAATAAAAATAACAGATTCCTGACAAATATCATTAAAGGGCCCATGAAACGAATTTTGGGTTGGGATGAATTATTTTTAATTGGGACTTTACTAATCGCATATCGTTTAGTTGGCCAAAAGAAAGAGGGTAGAAAGTGAAAGTCAGCTTTTCGGTACGAACATTTGAAAATATAGCGGACTATTTTGTACCTCCTTGCCTTCGACAGCTCTCCGCCTTTTCACTATGATACATCCTAGGTCGGTTCCAAAAGTGCGTCACCGGCGCCGAACTGACGTCAGCAGAGCCCAGCTCAGGCATTGGACACGAGAACTGCGTCACTCGGACGTATGCGCTCGTCAACAATCAATCCGTCGACAAATATTCGGATCCGCGTTCGTGGCCAATGAGTGCCCAGACGGAACTTATCGTTACTGGGGAATGACGTTCTATGGTGTGCACAAAAAGCATGGTGGAAGCTAGGAGTCGTCGCACCGGTGACGGTGATTTCACAATTCGCAATGATTTGAGGATTAAAGCTAAGGAGGAAGAAGTAGGAAAATCGTATCATGAAGCCTTTAACTTGCTCTCAAAGTTTTGAATCCTTATTTCTGTCATTGAAAAGTCTTTTCACTTTTTCTTTTTTTTTTTTTTTTTAATGTGAAGACTCG